TCTAATGGATTCTCAAGTTTCAAAATCAATGTTCTAAAGCAGCGGTTCTTAATACTGTTCCTCGCATCGCCCTGCTCTCTCTCTCTCTCTCTCTCTCATTCAGCTCAGCTCCGACAATGAACTGTTCCAATTATACACTTATTTTCACATAGCTATGAGAAGCGCGTGCAGTTGTTGTACTGTATTAAAGCTTTAATCAGGATAAAACCGTATATTAAAAGCTAACATAAGCAGTAGCATTTACAAATAACAGCGTATCTAAAAGTATGAGACAACAACAAACAAAAAACATAGGCCTACCATTAAAAGCTGTGCTTGCACAGGTTCTGCATGATCCTCTTCAATAATATCCTCTGCTTCTCAATTGGGCTCAAACTGATAAGCGATATTAACGACGCGGTTGTTTACAATACAACCGGAGCACATGCCGCTGAGGTGAGGGACGGGATGTTTAGACTCGCACTAGAGGCGGTTTAGCCAATCACAACACACTGGGCTAGCTAACCAATCAGAGCCCATCGCCTATTTCTGAGGGCGGGGCTTCATAAAAACAGGAAAAGATCAGACCGTTTCTCAGAGAAGGGACAGAGCGGTGTGGCATAAAGGTCAATTATGTGAACTATAATGAGTTTTTAAAAAAACGAAGCATTAGCACTTGTTAGACTGCACCCCATAAATACAATCAAGCCTAGAAAAAAGCCAGTGAACCACCCCTTTAATACAGTCACACTGTATTAAATTACAATATGAGAGTGTGTAGAATGTTTTGCAACTTTATCTTATTCAGCACAATCATTTATACATCATCTGGTCCTCGCTGCTTTAAGCTGGTTTCCCAGCCAAGCCAAATGAGAGTTCAGATAGTTTTAGCTGGTTGGCCAGCTGGTCTCCCAGTCTAACCAGCTGAAATGCCCCAAACCCCTCTAAAACCAGTCAAAAAGGCTGACCAGTCTGAGAGACCACCTAAGACCAGCTTAGGCTGGCAGCAGTTTCTTTATTACAGCAGAGTAGGGCTGCACGATAAATCGCATGCGATATTTAACGCGCATCTTGTCAGTAAAGTCGGTTCTTTAATCAGCGGTAAATCTCCATCACCTGCGGGCTTTCACATGGAGCAGCATTAACTACACAGAGCCGTTGTTCACCGACAAGCTGCGCAAAACATGCGCAAAATATGATCGTGGTTTTGCGCAGCTTGTCAGTGAACAACAGCTCTGTGTAGTTAATGCTGCTCCATGTGAAAGCCCGCAGGTCTGAAATCAGAGATTTACCGCTGATTAAAGAACCGACTTTACTGACAAGATGCGCGTTAAATATCGCATGCGATTTATCGTGCAGCCCTACAGCAGAGTAAAGCAAAGTAAGTTAAAATTAAATCAGAATTGTCCCTACTTATTTTTTTAATACAAATTCTTTTCAACAAATCTTTAAAAAAGATTTTAAACAATAAAATCATTTTCAACACCTCCTCTGCAACCACTTCTGTTTTTTTTAATGGTTTTGTTTTTAAAAACATTTTTACTACCTATTACTGATCAATTTAATTAAGTCACACCACTTTTTGTCTATGAATTTCTTAAGAAATATGCCACATGGAGGTAAAATGGGATTTATTTATTTAAGTAAAACCTTTAATTTGATTGGCCAAGCGTCTTGCCAATGCCACGACTTTTTGAAGTGACTCGTTTTGCAGGTTACAAGTGAATCATTGACTCAACCGATTCGTACAAAACACTGTTCCGATCAGTAAAGAAACACAGGTAACTGCTGCGGTCGATCTCGTTTGGCTTCGTGTGTAATAATTGTCTTTGGAGTAAGAAAAATAGACAACTGTAACTGGAAATATGGTATGTAAAATGTAAGTTACCCAGTATTACCTTATTTTAAACGGTTTATTGAACTGTATGAAAGCAATATCACACTCGCAATAGCTATTTGGTCTGATCTGGAGATTGGTGGAGCGTACTGTATATTTGGAACAACAGCTCTCTTGCTCGTGGATATTGCTTAATTAGACAGTTTTATCTTTAAGTATACTGGACCAGAGATTTTATACTGGACCAGAGATTTTTTTTCAAAAGTGTTTCTGAAAAGTGAATTTCATGAGAACTTGAGTAGCATCTAAAAACTAAAGTCACGACCATCGCGCATTAAAATGGGAGGAGCGCGAGCTGTTCCTCCTAATCCGGTGTAATCAATTAACCCTTTTAAATTAACAGTTTAGTTTGGAGGGAGTTGGTTAGTTATCAGAAGAGTTATATCTGCTCATTCATGCTGAAAAACGATAAGAACACCTCAGGGCGAGCCTGTGCTATGGAGGGCTACTCGGGCCCATCACTTTCCGTAAGCACGCAGCCTTGCAATGATGTTATTGTGTTTCTACTTAATTACACAACAAGATAACTGAATCACTCCGGCTGTTTTGAGTCAAAGGGCCATCTTTAACCAAATTAGCACTTCTACCCCCTCAAATGCGTGTTATTGACATGAATCAGAGAGTCCTCCTCCTCGGAGCTATAATCAGCTGCAGAGCACAACCACATTCCACTGTTATTATCATTATGATTATGTCAACTAATGGCGAGTCTCAGGGAAATTCGATACAATTGAGGCCATAGGTCTTGGGCAGTACAGAAAATGAAATAAGATTAACGAAGCTGTAGAAGATCTGTGCAGAGTAACATAAAACTAGACTTGTACATTTTCTGAAGAAAATGAAAGCGCTGCTTGCCTGTGACTGTTGTGGGTGGTTTCTCATTTTCTTTAGTTTAAGTTAACATAATAACTAAACATAAACATAACTCAAACTAAATAAACAAAAACAACAAAATTACTAAAATTACAGTGAACACTGAAACTATAAAAATAAATCTAATTGTAAGTATTACCAAAAACTAGTATCATTGGTGGTTAAGGTGCTTTATCACATTACGGTTGCTAGGGTGTTTGAGTGGTTTTCTATGAGGTTGCCATATCAAGAGATCCTAACCTTAAGTATGTATCTATAATATTCTGGTTTCTATGGTTTGGATATCTCCTTTATTGTAAGAGTATGGGTTTTTCCCCCCTTCTGTTGTATCATCTTCCAGACAAAATAGAGGATCAACTTTGTATGTTTCTCCTTTGAAAAAAAAACTTGAATAACTGATATAATTATTGATGTATATAAGAACATAAAACTATAAAATTAATATGGCTGGCATATTATAAAATAATTTGAGTTTATAGAAAATCTCTGATTGTTGGCACAATCTGTGAGTTTGAGATATCTTCTGAAACCCTAGACAAGACATATGAGAGATTATTATTATTATTTTTTTTTCAGGGAAATTCTTTTTTGAGAAGTTAAGCAAAAGTCTCCAATTGCACTCCATTTAATCTCACTTCTGTATAGAAGAGATAGTAAGAGGTCTTGTAATATTCTTTACTACGGGGAGTGATGGACACTGTAGGGAATTACCAAATTGTTGAAGGCATATTCATTAGGCAGTTTTTGGCTGCAGAAGAGGCAATCCTTCTGGCAGTCACACCATGCTGGGTTACACAGTCCAAGCAACAGTAGCGTCCACAGTGGAGTCTTCATCACGCAGTGTGTTAACAGCTGAAGTGCAGTCTGTAGAGAGGATAGAGACAGAGATGATGGTGCAAGAGAGAAAATAGGTTACGATTCCTGGAAATAAATCTTACCACAACAGTATGTGTATACATTAGTTCAACCTACTGGAAAATTTCTGATTTGTCAAGTGCATAATTTGCCATCTTTGTGACTCAAATCTAATCAATTCAAAAATAACCAACTGAGAACTTAAAG